CAATCAGCCTATAGGGTCTTTTTTATCCGTTTACTTCTCTGCTCATTTTTTTTGGTTTGTTTTAGTTGTTATGTGCCTTTGACTGTCTGGTGTGTTGTGGGGGAGTAGTGTATGTGTGTGAGTTCAATGCGACTTTCTGATCTGTCGCTTGTTATCACGCTCCATCCCTCTCTTCACTGTCATCAGCAGTCTTTTCTGGTGTTTTTTGTTTGTTTGATTCGTTGTGGGGGCGTCAACGGGTAAAGCTATAGTTTCCGTGGGCAATCTGACTTGAGTTGTTTGCTATATCATGATAGGCGCTTCTTTTTTTTATACAAAAAAAGGAATTAATAAACGCGTTTCCTTTTTTTTTTTTACTAATTATCCGACTTACTTGAGTATTGAGGACTATGTGGGGGTGAATTGGGGTCTGATATTCCATGCGCGTGTTGTATTGAAACAACAGGTCAACGTGCCACCACCACCACCACCTCTTCTTACTACTAACTATAATTTCTGCATAAATCTCTCCATACATACGGCGGATATGTGAAGGGGTTCATGACTCATCCCAAATAGCAAAATCACACGCATACTTTCACAAGGTGAAGGATTGGGCGAACCCTACCTACCTACCTATCTGCTTGCCTACTTACTTACATACTCACACCCAGACCCTACATTACCTAACCCGCACACACACACACACACACATTCTACACGAGTCTTAAAAAAACCAAGCCATTCGTATTTCGACTCAAGAAGGCGCCAACCCCCGTATTCTCGAAAGAGGGTAAAAAAAGGGACCGACCGTTCGTATGCCGGGGCCGTGCTTGGCGGCGTATATGTGGATAAATTCGGGGGGACGGTAAGGTAGGGTGAGTAGTTTTTTTTCCTTGGTGTTTGGCTTGGGGTTGTGTGTGTGGATACGAGGGGAGGGGGTTGGGGGGTTGGGGGGCGGGAAGGACGGGAAGTTGTTTGTGTTTGTTTACTGTGTATGGTTTGTTGTGTTATGAGGGATTTGGGAGGAATGGCGGGGGAATGGGGGGGTTTGTGCAAGTCACGGCATAGCATGGACCGGGGATGGGAAAAAAAAGGGACATTGTTACTTTGGGTAAATGGACGTGGCAATCACTCAGGGACGGGCGGATGCAAATGGGCATGTGCTTGGCGGGGAGGAAACGGTGATGATCTTGCGGAAGAATCGGACTAGGAGCGGAGAAGACGATGTGTATTGGAAATAGGGCGAGTTAGGCATGGCATGGGGTTTGTTTTGTACTATACGAAGTGCTAGTGGAAAGGTCGCGTGCTATCGTGTCGTGTTTGTATCGATAGCATCTGTGGAGGATTCTTGGTGGATAGCGGTAACTAGAGTTGTGCCGAGATTCACTGCATCCTTCGAGAGTCGATGCATCTGTTTCTCGTCTTGGCAAACAGGACAGAGAGTGAATCCGTGCACAAGAGAGTGGAGAAGTGTCTGTCAGACGCGGCAAAGCAAGGACGGCGAGGCTCCACGTCGAGGGATGTTTTCGTGATCTCGGGGGCAATTGAAATTAGGATTGGCCCTGCGTATTTGAGTGGCAGTCCATTTGCGGCCACGTGGAGTAGCCATGTCGGGTAAGGGCTCCACAGAGATTGGCGTTCGACTCCGCATGGTTGCAGAGTAGGTAAACTGATAGGCACGAGACGGTATTTCAGTCACCAGGGGATAAGGTTCTGTTAATCATTGGACGGTGCTAACTTAGTTCAAGCCAGAATGGTGGCATTTGCTGCAGAGAATAAGGGCGCCACCAACGATTAAATGTCGGTCATTTCGAACTCTAATCGAGATGGGGTGTAGGTATGTGTGCCGGTAGCCGCCGTCCTTGGAGCTGCCTCACTTGCACAGTTGGTGCAAGCAGACGCTGATTGGTGCAGAGGGTGATCGCCTCACCTCAAACAGCCCAAGGAGAAATTACAAGGTGACCAGGTTTTGTGCAAGAACCACAAAAGCCGTTGGATAATAAAGAATACCCCAGCTTTTTTTTCTTGACTTCTTCCAAGAGTCCAAGCTGCAGTCACATGGGAATGGGCAGGGGCGGTATGTGCGCGTGGTGCCGGGAACTATGACATAATAACGTCGTTGTTCAGGCCAATCGAGGTGCTGGGCGGGTTGAAATAGGATGCAACCCAGTGTGCAGGATACGAGGCTGGTGTTATTGCTGTTGCGGTGGCCGAGACTAAAAAGGGGGGTGAACTAGAAGGGTACGAGGAAACGGTGGTTCCGAGTGGCACACAGACGCTTACGTGCATGGCAAAAGCAGATGTGGTGTGTGTGTGTGAGTGGACATCTTTGTCGATTCTTTGTCTCTCCACACAGGAGGGGAGGGGAACAGGCAAGGGAAAAACGAGACAGGTAGGTGATGGTGGGATGGGACAAGGAAAAAAACGCGTGCCAGGGCCCCTGTTTGCTTTGCGCATGTTGCTTTGAGCCAGTGGCTGTGGGCTGTGGGCAATTTCCCGCAGAAGGAGTGGAGCGCAGAAATGACGGGCGTGTGGGTGGAAGTCGACAGGCCAAGGGAACGGCAAGGGCTTGGAGATGGGGTGGTGATTGGATCGCTTTGGGGTGAAGGATGGCGGCTGGGACAGCTAGAGACGGGAAGGATTCGAGTGGGTGCATGGCGCATGGCAGACAGAGGACGAGACGAGAGGCTAGGCCAGAGGCCATGTCGACCAAGCCATGGGAGCGGACGTATGGTAGGACGCAGCAGGGCATAGTACCGTAAGTAGTCTTGCTATCCTCGTGCTATAGTGCCAGTTAGCATGGAGTCGTGTGCAGAGTGACAGCAGCACGCGACGAGTTGATGCACCCAGCCCAGACCGCGTGGCCGATTGGAGGTGGCCATGGCCGGTTCCCCACTGCGCGTCTTGGGCCGAGTGTCTTGTTCATTTATCATCTCGGTCCCATTAACGGGCGATCCCTGGGAGCGACAGCAGCGGACGGTGCCCAGGCCGGCTGGAGTCGTGTTCTGCATTTTGTGCTTTCTGCTTTGGGCATGCACGCCCGGGGGCATGTCCAGCTCCCCTACGGCCAACCCAGCAGTTCATCATCATCGTCAGCCCCCCCCCCTGCCGTCCTTCTTTGCTGCTCCGTCTTGTCTTGTCTTGTCCGCCCAGCCCTACACCTCTTCCCACTACCTCACGCTCTTTTTACTTTTGTTCCGCCCAACACCACCTTGCATACCCACCCACGCTCTTTACTTACTCCATCCTTCCTTTTTCTGCTTTGTTTAAGAGCCTTCTCCAACCTGCCGACTACCCGCCCTAATATAATTTCTCTGCCGCCGCTATGCTCCTACACAACTCGTGGGGCGCCTTGCCCGCCCTGCTAATCCTCGCTCTCTCTCGCTTCTGTAAGTCTGCCTCCCGCCTTCACGCCACCATGCCCTTTGGCGCACGCAAGCGCTAACCACGAGTTTCTGTGCAGCAAATGCCGCCTGCGAGTGCGGATACTCGGTCAACTCCACCAGCGACTCTTCCTATGCCGTCTTCACCGAGCTGCTTGAAAATGACTTTCTCCACACAAAGACCGACGACTTCTCCACGGTAGGATGGAGACCCCAGCAGTACAACATGACGGCCCAGATGGCCAGAGGCCCCTTTGGCAAGGCTATGGAAGTCGGCAATGTTCTCTCCAACCCTCTCAAGGACGACAAGGCATGGGCGGGAGATGCCGAGCACGGCGGAGATGCCGGACTCGAGCTGTGGGTTCGTGGCAACCACGCAGACGGCTTCGTGAGCGGTGCCGAGATTGTTAGCATACGCAACGACTCGCTACTCGGCAGTTTCCGTGTGGGCATGAAGTTGTCCAACTCGTCTGGAACTTGCGGCGCATTCTTCTTTGTACGCCGCCATGACGCGCCCACTCAAACCATGTCCCCTGGCTAACAGTCGCAGTACCACAACAACTCGCAAGAAATTGACATGGAATTCCTCTCGCATCAATTCAACGAATCCCAAGGCGCCGTAAACCTGGTTCTCCAAAGCCCCCAATCCGTCTCCAACGGTTTCGCTGCTCAGGGAACAAACGGCTTTGTAGTCAAGCAACTCCCATTCCGCCCAGACGAAAAGTTCCACGAGTACCGCTTTGACTGGACCCCTGGCAGCGTCGAGTTTTTTGTTGATGGTCAACTCCTCCACCGAATGACCGAAAACGTTCCCCAGGAAGGCGGCAGCATCTTCTTCAACCACTGGAGCAATGGCGACCCATCATGGTCGGCAGGACCACCCGACCGAGACACTGTTATGACAATCTCCTACCTCAAGAGCTACTTCAACTCAACTGATACCGAGCGATCGCAAAACGACTACAAGAAGCGCTGTCCTACATTCGACCCGGCCAAGGTCTGTGCCATTCCCAACCAAATGAGCGCACCGGACCCAAGTCAAGGCGCCGAAGCGGCCAAGACGTACTTCTTCTCGACAGACCCCAAGGGCGACATGACTCCTGGCCAGACAACGTACAAGAACGCGGCGACAAGCATATTCGGCGCTCCGCTATCATCAATCGTCATTCCATCAATCATTTCCATGCTCAGCTTAGCCATGGCATGGTAGTCGCCCGAGACCTGCTACAAACTTTGCAACACAAAAGTCCGCTTTTCTCGCTTTTCTCGCTTTTCTCTCCATCCATCGCAAAGACAGTCATTTGTCCCGCGAGCTTGTCATGGACTCGGGACTCGTTTTATGAGTATACGATCACCTTCCCCCCCCCCAAGACATTTACGGCGTTTTTGTCATAATTCCGGCTATTCCAGCTTGAGGCACATATATCTTTAACTCGGTCGCAACGACACGCAAATTCTGATTGCTCTATTTACATTACTCCTTCTCCAACATATTTACTGCTTGGCACGGCCTTAGATGTGCTTCTTTGCACGCTTTCTTTTCTTGTATATACCCTTGTTCTCCGCAATCAGGCTTTTGCAGTCAGCACCAAGCTTGGTCTGTTTTGTCTAGCACGGCCAAAACAGTTTGGATCATTACGCATGTCGTCCTGCTTGGAATGGTACCACATCGCTCCCGTTCTGAACCAGAAAGCATTCTGCTTGCCAGCCCCCACATACCGCCAGCGCTTCCGGTACATGATTTCGGCCTCGTATTGTGTTTAGCCTTGCTACTATTTTGTATTGGACTGGAATCCTCATCCGAATCGGCATTAGAAGATACCAGCTTAGTCACTTGCGCACAATCAAACATACCACCAATTACCATTGTCACTTCCATTCTTCGTGTCGCTTCAACGCCACTGCCAAAACCAATGTTTCTTGAACCAGTCTCTTTTATTTTTGCGTCTGCGGCACACCACTGCCTGGGCTTAGTCTCTTTGTTCTCGCGTGTTCCTTACATATACGAGAGAACTAGTTTCAGCCGTAGAGTCGGAAGCGTGCAAGCCACTTGGCCTGGGTAGACTGAGGCTCAAAAATACGGCAGCGAAGACTCTCCTTTGAGCCGTACGTACTGGGTAACAGATCAGCCCATCCGTTAGCTTTTACTACTTCCGGACCTAGGAATTAGGCCCGTCAGCACAACAACAACAAAATAGAATGATGACGCGCCGACAAAGAGCGCGCAATGTCGCCTATTTTTTGCAGGCACGGCCCCTGGAGTTGTACGCCTAGTGAGCCCGGCACATGACGGAACCCGGGCGTGGCTGACGCTAGTTCCAAAGACGCACAGATGGCGGGCTGGACTGACAGGACAGGACAGCCTGGCTTGCGCTTTGAAGCCTAGGCACATACCCGTCCGCATTCGTCTAAAAAAAAGAGTCCCCCCTCCCATTTTGAGAGGACCGAGTGGACAAGCTTTTTATATTTTTGTTGTGATGGTGGGAACCTGCCAAATAGCTTTGCAGACAACATGTACATACATATATCTGTAATGGATTACTTGCGGATTATTCCATCTCGTATATCCTATCTATCTATATATATATATATATCCCGCGGAACAATCTCATCCCTTCATCGCGACCATACCCAAACAAATCCCCTTGCTAGCTCACAAATTAAAGTCCCTAGTCTATAGCTCACGGGAAGCGCGGATAAAGGACCGGAGCGGGGTTGGGCGCATGTGTGTGTGTGTGTGTGATTGTGAGTGTTTGCGTGCATGGCTTCAATGCTCATGTTTCCCACGGTTCCCACAGTCACATTTCCTCTAACATAGTGGTGAACTATATTTGGATTTTTTGCTCCACTTTTCTTTCTTTATTTTTCCCTTTTCCTCAACTAAGGATATTCTATTTTATATCTTTTTTTTGGGGGGGGGGGCGTCTCACGTAACCGAGCGAGATGGCGGGGGACGTGGAACGTGGAACGGAAAACTAGGGTTTTGCGAAGCAAGACTAGTTAGTGATGGACTCGCTTTTTTCCTTCCTTTGCGGTGCAACACCGAAGAAAGCCGGATGGCGTGTGTGTGTGTGTGTGTGTGTGTGTGTGTGCCATGTTTTCTTTTGTGACGCTTTTGTTTTTTTTTCTATTCTCTCTGGAAGGATGGGGTTCGCATATTTTGTTGTGATGGAGATGCTGGTTGGGAGGCGGGTTTAGAATACGAGAATGGCTCTATTGTTTTGGGATGGGGGGGGGGCTAAAGTTTTACTCGGAGAAAAGACACCCTTTCTTTCTCCTCGCTCTCCTTTCGCGCGCGCGCATGCGCTGTTTGGGATGGCTGAGCCCGACGAAACCTTTGTACCATTTACCATCCTCCAAAGCCCACACCAAAATTGTGACTTTTTGTAACCTGAGTTTTTTTCACAAGACATAAAAGGTCTAGAATGTGTCAGTGCGGGGGAATGCACAAACTTTGTTGCCTTGCGCTTTCCCTTTGAACAGAAATAGAAAGAGGGTCTGGTCCAGTCTCCCATTTTATGTCTTTGCTTTTTTTTTACCAAGCGCGCTTGCTCAACGCGCCCAGTTGCCGGATTCGGGATATGCTAAGCTTTTGCCAAGATGTGCGCTTAGCTTGTTTGGGGTGGCAGAGTGGAAAAGTAAAAGGCTTAATTTTCGGGCTCAGCATGGATGGTGAGGGTTGGGCTGGTTGCTCTGGTCTAGGCTTGTTATTTTCAGTCCACGATACACGTGCGTGCATCGGTTGTGGGGAAGAGTAAAGGCTGCAAGTTATCAGATGCATGGCAAAGAATCTCATATCCATGGGGTTTACGTGTGTCATATGGTAAGAAAAGAAAAATCGTCTGGCTTCGTAGGTCGGGATACGAAGATTGGACTGTGATCTCTATGAATCACTAACGTCACTCCAACACCGCAGCTCCCTATCTCAACTTGGAAGTTGTGGTTGCGGTAGAGACTACATCTGCACGTCACTGTCTGCTTTTCTCTTCCATGGCGAGCTACCGAAGGATTGGAGCACGTCGGACGACAAGGTGCAGAACAACAACATAATGCAATCATTTACTAAGGGATGTAGTTTCTAGGGTAAATTAGAAAGTCAGGATAGCACACTCAACACTGGCCGTCACTTGCTGTAGCATACATCGTCGCTTCTCCTAACGGTCTACAGCACCGTCACCGTCACTTCCGTTTGCCAGACTTCGCCATCAACGTCAACACCGTACACAATCCTTTTTCACGTATTGAATCTCTACAGTCTCACATTCACTTCACTTCGGGTACTCCCCAACCCCACGTTCGTTTTGGTTTTGGCTTTTTGGCTTACCCACTTTCTTATCTCGTCTCTCGCTGCACGCCGTCTTTCTTTTCAACCAGTTGTGCTACCCCAACCACGGGTTTGGCGTTTCACAAGGCTGGTCAGTAGCGGGTGACTGGAATCTGGTCTCTTCGGATTTCTTGTCAGAGCCTCACGTCTCATCGATGAGTCTTCACTAGTAACTTTCTCCTGCAACGCCACTTTTGTTGAAGTAGGGACGCCGCTTGGGTCTTAAGCCTCTACACACAACACCACTCAAAATCACCGCAGATAGCACTTTCAGCTACTTTACACTCTTCATCTCAGACAAGATGCAGGGTTATATCATCTCAATGCTTCTGCTGCCGGCTTTGACTGCATGTACGCTCCTTCCTGTATCTGGATACCTGCAAGATGGGGAGACTACACTCATGGCGGGAGCAAGTCCGACATCCACCCCCAACCCAGTAGTGACTTTGACAACCGAACTCTACAGCTCTGGGTAGATCCATACTCACATAATGACTTTTGAAGCCAGCTCACATAGTATAGGATCCATCAAGTACCTGCCGTCACTCCAACCAAGGACCTGTCTGCCCAGGGACTAGTCGTCAGCGTTCCAACACTGCCATTTGCAAGCAACCCAACAGTCGAACCAGCTATCATAACCTCAGTCAACACTTCCACAGGCGATTCTCTTGAAGATGCGCTTGTAGCCCGAGTGGAGCCTGCTGATGTAGGGCCCCCGCCTCCAATTGCCAATCATGCGGCCAATCCTGTTCCGCCCGCACCCGCAACTACTTCTTCAGATTCATCCAGGACGGCGAGTACCAGTGTTACACATGCAACAACGTCATTTAGCAATGTGCCCTTCGTCACTGTGCAGTGGGTTGAGACATTCATCGGCGGTACCTATTCGACCTGGTGGCCCCACACTGTTTCTATTGACTTCAAGCCGCAAAGATCTGTGGCTCCAGCTCCGGGCAGAGGAGAAATTGGCATGGGGACTTTGACAGGCAAGACCGGACAGACTCAGACAGTTGTAGAGGTGGTGGCTGCTGCTGCTCCCACACAAAACCCAGGCTGGGTTAGGGGCGTCGCTGCCATGGTCGGTCTCGGTGTTATGGGAGTTTTCTGAGGTGCGGAGGTGGAACCGGATAAGAACCATGGGTCTGGTTATGCGGTGAATGTTATGGAAGATCGAGGCCTATGTCGCCAAATATCCGTTGGGACACGTTAGTACGGCGAATTACGAAATGTAACGACTTATGAGAGATGCTTAGTGTATAACAGAGATATCAGAAAGTAGCAGGGAGCGACAAGGATTGGAGTAGTTGCAACGTTGGACAAGTTTGCTCAAGTCCGAGTAAAATGCGAGAAACATGCTTCTTGTTGGGCCACTGCACCGTGCGTACCTACGTAGTTGATCATCGTCAGCTGCGGATCACACCACCGTACCACATATTTCGTAACCATGAAGTGGATTGTATTCTACAACCACGATTTCATTCTGGATGAGCTTGCTATTGATGAGAAGAAGCAAGTACTCAACTATGAGCCTGAAGGGGGGAAGTTGGGGCGAACGACGAGTGACCCCGCACGTCGATCAAGCACCGGCGACTAGTGTGTACTATCGAGACTGGCAGTTCAAACGAGCAGCGCTGTCAGACGTAAAAGGCTAACTTTGAAATAACTGACATGCTCCAAAAAGAAAATATGACGCATCATGCTGCGCTGGTCGTGAAGTGAAGACAGCGCACGTAGCAAGGGGCGGTGGAGTGACCGCTCAGCCTTGGTGGCGCGACCTTCACGCACCCTGGTGGGCGATCCGTTCCGCCCCGACGTTCTTATCGCTGGGCCGGATGATTTCGTGGTGAGACCACAGGTCGGTGAGTCGCGTTCACCTGCCAAACAACGTGATTGCGGCTCTAGCTTTTTCCAGAGCATCTACTTATAAGGCAGGTAGGGCTGCTGGTGGTTTAGCTTAATTCATCAGCAACCATACGACATTATAGTCAGACGTACGAACAACTATTTGCCCTACCTACATACACATCTGATAGGAAAGGGTATCACTCGATTTACAACCACCACCATTACAACTTGAGACGAACAATTTCAAGAGAACAATTCGACAACCGAATTGAGATAGGAGCAACAATCTCAATAAACCAAGCACAAGAGAAGGCACTGAACGACAACATGTCAATGGCATACTACTTTGCCGCGCACTTCAACGTGCTCAACACACATATGAGCGATAACGCCATATCAAGCACCACACCTCCCCTGCGCACATCACCAACAGGAGGACAAACACATCACCCCACCACACCCTCAAAACGGCTCCCTACATCCTCCCAAAAACAATCAATCTTCTTCCTCCTCCCGGCCGAACTCCGCAACCAAATCTACGACTACCTCCTCTGTGCCAACACCCCAAGCTCAAACTCCCTAGTAGAGTACTCGCAACAGCGCAGCCACGCCCCGCAACCCATCTACCCAGCCATCCTCGCCACCTGCAAGCGAATCCACCAAGAAGCCCAGGACCTCCTCTACTCAACCCACATCTTCCAAGCCCACCCTTCCCTCCTGACATCTCTCCCTCACCTCGTCTCCCCCTGGAAACCCCTCCTCGACGCCTCTGCAATCGCAAAGATCCGGCGCTGGTACCTATCTGTGCGTCTGGATACCGATCCACGGTTTACAGAGAAGCAAGCTACGGCTGCGTTTAGCGGAGCAGAGTACCTGGAGATTCATGCGTGGCAGAGTATGTTTGATGGGTGTGACGATGGCGTTTTACGGCTTTTTTCGGGAATAAGGGGTGTTAGGGTTGCGAGGGTGACGGGTTGTGCGAAGGGTGAGTTTGCGGCGTGGTTGGAGGGGCAGATGATGAGGCCGATTGAGGAGGAGATGGAGGTAGAGGAGAGCTGTAGTTGTGCGAAGGGCGTTTGTGGGAAGTGTGGGGAGAGGGTTGTGTGTGAGGAGAAGGTTGTGCCGTGGATTGGCCAGGAAAGGGATGTTTGGACTTTTGGAAATCGATGAGTGGGTTTACGAATGGGGTTTCTTTGGTAGATGGGGTCAAGGCATGGATGCCTATGGGTATTTTCGAAAGAATTAAGAATAGAATAGAACCTCCCTGTCGCTTTTCTGCGATATTTACAACATCATATCGTACAGTTACGATCACACACTCATCTCGCAGCTTGGTGATATAGGACCTTCAATTCTCCATCCACACTTGCACTTTCCTACTTCAACTCCTCCCTCTCTCCCTCCTCTTCAATCTTCCCGCAAGGAAACGCACACTCAACTTTTCGTTCCTATAACCGTATTAGCACCTGCTCTCCTAAATTCCAGCATAATATTGATCAGGAGAACTCACTCTATTAACCAACCCACTCTCTACCCACTCCCCTACCTGACACCCCGCCTCGCCTCCCTCAACCCTTTCCTTCTTCCCATCAGCCTCCCACTTCAACCCCCCCATCTCAAACCCCAACCCATTCCCACCATCCCGGCCACTAATCGTCAACGCCTCACCCCCCAACAACCCCTTAACAGCATACTTCTGCGTCGCCGACAGCCTTGTGTACGAATTACGTTCCGTCGCCGGTTTCGTGGCTGCGATGTCGATGACGAGGCCGTTTGCGTGATCGGTGATGGTGGGGAGGTAGATGTAGTTTTTGCGGGGGTTGGAGGAGATTTGTTTGTGGTAGAGGGTGAAGGTGCAGTGGTCTTGGGGTGATGGGGTGGTGGCGCGAGGGAGGATGTAAGGGTGAGGGGGTTGGGGTGGGAGGAGGTGGGCGGCTGTGAGTGTGGTGAGGAAGAGGGTGAGGAGGGTGGTGGTGGTGTGCATGGTGTTGGGGGTTGTGTGAGATGGTTTGTGGTGGTGGTGATAGTATGGGTAGTTTGTCGATTCGCGCGACTGGATGGATTTTGTTGATACAAAAGAGTAGGAGAAAGAAGAACTTCTTATAATAGAGGATCAAGCAAACAAAGATTAAGCTTGAAGCAAGATCTGAATGCGAATCTAGCAACAGTGATGCAGCGCAATTGGTAGTAAAAGCAAGTAGCAAGTACCTTTCCCTCCATTGCTCCTTCCGCACCCATCTTAACCTTTCCAACCCCCAACCGCGCCGCTTCCTTTCGCGCCCCCTAACCCCAGCAACCAAATTGATCATCTCATAAAGATCCTATTTCTATCACTCGGATCACTTCCTTTACTCACCCAATGCGGTCGTGCGGCGGTTGCAACATGCGGGGTTGCGGCGCGGGTATCGGGTAAAATACATGCGGGCGCTAAATAAACGGGTCTGCCTTGTCCGCTCTGTGCAATGAAAAGCGTTGCAGAGCCGCAGGGAGCAACATTAAGTGGGGGGGGGGGTTCCTTATGTTTGCATGGGATTCAGAAAATTTGGTCAAGTGCGGCGTGGTTTTGGGTGGGACTTGAAGGAAGATGAGTGTCTTGGGAGTGCTGGGATGGCGAAATGAAAAAGACCCCGGGAAGAGTCCTAGAGGTGTGTGGCTTAGACGACAGGCAAGGCAGATTTGCTTTGTGAATTGACATAGCTGAGTGCATAAGAGTCTTGCGCTGTTTATGTTCAAGGTAGGATTTGCTCGTTCCCACGTGAAATCGAGTTATGTGTACATGGCAGTTGGCTTGTTCTCACCATTCTCTAGAATTGGAGGGCCAGCACCGACCAAAGGGTCCCAGTTTCCTTTGATAATGCATAGAGCCGGTTGATGCATAATTCGTGCATTTGCCATTGGTAAAGGAAAGGAGTCAATTATTGCCACGAAACAGGTTCCAGAAGTATCGCCAAAACGACAGGTATTTCTAAATAAATATCATTCTTAAGAAAAATTGTCACTCGCAATTATTTTCAACGTAAAATTATTACTGTCTGTAGGATTTGCATCATGGTCGCGCGGTACCTGGATGTGCGCCAGGGACAAAGCGAGCAATCTCAGAATCCCAGTTTGGGAGGGGCCGAGCGTCGTAAAGTCTGACGTCTATCGCACAACTGCAACCAGCAATTCGCACACAAACACTCGCTGCCGCTATGCCGCGCCCATGCCAGAGACGGCGCGCCACTGCAGCTGAGAATCGAAAGTCCAAATCCACAAAGCCACAAGGGCCGCCCCCGATCCGACACAAAGCACGCCAAAAAGCCATCCACAACGCGAGGAAAGCAGAGCGAGGAGGAGCACGCGGAGGAAGGGGACGAGGGCGTGGCGGCCAACAACACAATGGCGGCGGTCGATTTGCACGCGGCAGAAAGAACAATGGGGATCAGGAAGAGCAAGACTTTATACCCCTGAGCGGCGGCGGCAACAATTTCGAGGCGTTATATCGGGCAAGGCCAGACTATGATATGGACAGCATAGACGAAAGACATACCCAAAGAAGCGACAGCTATAGCGACGACGACAGCCTGACAGACTCGGACATACTCGACGACGACGAGGATTTGGAGGATACCCAAGACATTTCCATCAACATTGAGGAATCTTTGCCCACACATGGCAGGAGGAAAAACCCTAGGCCAACAGTCATGTTCACGATACCTGCTGCGGTCGCTGTCTACAAGGAAATGTACTTGTCTCAGTTCCCGCTCAGTGTATTGACGTTCCGTACCCATTACGGCCTCTTTCATGAAGACACTACCCCAGACTCTGGCGCATACATATCCCTTGCATCGTCCGCAGCCTCTCGTCCACCGACGGTGAGCAGCGCCACCAGCGATGAACCTGTTGTTATAGACGAAGCCATAAGAACCGATCTCGAAGCACATAATCCTGCACGTGACTATATCTTCAATTGGGGGGTGAATAGTGGCAAGCGATTCACCGAGGTTGACGACAAATATCTCCGTACCATTGGGGGTCAGCTATATAGATACACAGACATGCACCCTGGCTTACTGGAGGCTTTTGAGTACCACAGGCCGGGTCAAGCACGTATCTCACCGCCAAAACCTGGCCCTCGGCCCCGACAACGAGGGTCAAAGGCAAAAAAAGCTCCCCAGCAAGCTCCCCAGCAGCCTTCAGCACAAGGTCCATCACAGCCAGAGACGTCCAAGTCTCAAAAAGGGAAGCAAAAAGGCAAACGAAGGCGGCCTTGACGAACTTCAATATGGTAGTCCAGTCGTGTACTAGTGGTCACTACCACATATACCTTTCACTCGAGCGTTTGCAGGTGGCCCAAGCGGTACATTCACCCTTCACCACTCATCGCCCACAGTAAATAACTTGAATGTTTATCTTACCCCGCCTTGTTTACTTGACAACAACCAAACCCTCCACGCCGCAGTCTCGCCATACCTCAACCCTCGTCAAGTCGAACAATCATTCAAACATGAGCTCCGGTCCTTCTGGCTCTGCCCCTCCAAAGGGAAAGAAGCGGTCTCGCTCAGAAGGTAGCAAGCTGACGACGCAGCCGCAGCCATCATCCCAATCGCAGAAGGCTCCCATCCAGCCCAAGGAGACCATTGACCTTACCATGGCGGATGAAGAAACGTCACCCACGACGACCGTATCAACGGGCAGCCGTGCAACCAGTACTGAACCCCCCATAAAATTCTCCCTAAGACCGGTATATGGAATGATTGACCTGACGCTAGAGTCTGACGAAGACAAGGACGTCATTGGCGGCATGCACGCAAAGTCCAACCCAGATCCCAAAGGCAAGCAGAAAGAGGTAGTAGTCGTCAAGAAGAAGTCTGAAAAGGAAATCAAGCGTGCTGCCCAGCTCGATCACATCGCCATCACGTTCACCCCCGCCCAGGCTATTGCTGCGCTTGCGAACCCAAAGCCGCGTAATATCACGTATGATATGCAGATTGGGGAGCGTTTTACGTATCCAGTCAAGAGGTCGTATCATTTGGGTGCCATGGGTCGCTATTTGCCTCCTGGTGCTGGTCCTGCTGGTAATGACAAGGCATCTGCTGCCGAGAAGAAGGAGTCTACCAAGGGCAAGGCTCCTGCTGAGGGCGGGAGATCTACTCGGGATATGGCCTTTGATGCCGACAACTAGCTTGTCGTGCTCAAACTGCTAGAAAGGCATATCAAAGCAAGGGAGATTCGGGGGCATTCGACAAGTTTTCATGTACCTTTGTCATGACGAAGAAAATGATGTATTTTCTGGTATGACGGGTTTATCTTCGTGCATGGTACTTGGGTGTCGAGCTGTTCATGGAGAATTGAGGATAATAATTAAAATTTACTTCAAATATGCAATGCCCAAACGAACGTGATGATAATAAGTCTTCTGAGTTGTATAAAGTATCTTCACTAATGCATCCCTCTTACCCACTTTCTCCTTCCCCTCTTCATACATAACCATCTCTTAGAAAAACAAGAAACATGACCACTTTCATCTACTTTTTCTTGCCTCGAACAAAAACGAACAACGCCATAAACACACGCCCGAAGCGTGATAAAAACGAAACACCATCTATTATACTAAACCTGGATCAAACATATACACATGCGTATATATATCCAAAAAAGAAGAGAAGAAAGAGGAACAAAAAGAAGACTGAAATGTCATCTCTTCATCTTCCATGCAACAACACAGCATAACATATTAGTCATATCGTCATCCCCCCCCTTGTCTTTACTTCCTTCCAATCAAATTACTCAATCCACTCTTGCGCTTGTTGTTCTTCTTCTCGCGCTCACTTTCTTCCTTTTCGCGGGCTTCCTCGGCTACGCGCTCGTCTTTTGTAGGCACGCGGGGCTGGTCTGCGAAACGGATACCGGGGGTACGAGGAGCGGGCGAGAGTGTCTTTTGGCTGCTGGGTTCGGCGGCAGCGCGTGAGTGGGTACCGCGACCGGTTTCTAGGGGGTCGCCGGTTTCTTCATCTTCAGAGTCGGATTCGGGGGTGTCGTCTTTGGCTACACCCAGGGCACCGAGACGGCGCTTGCGCTCTGCGGCTGTTTCGCCTTCGAAAGTTTCTCCTTCTCCAGCTTCTTCCTTGAGGGGCTGTTGTGTTGTAGGAGTAGGGGTTGCGATGTCCTTAGGTCCCTGGCTTGAGGATTGCTCTGCTGCTTGCCGTCTCCGGCGCTCTGCTGCTGTCTCGCCGTTTTGACCGTAGGAGTAGTTTTCTAGATCTTGGCGCACAGAGTGGAAAGGAACCTGCTCATCGTTGCTGTCGACCAGTGTCAGGCCTTCTGGACCACGGGCATTTCCTGATTCGTCTGCTGCAGGAGACTCAATCTTGTGGAGCTCGGCCTCACCCTCTTTGCCTACAACAGGAGGTATGTTTGCTTGCTTAGAAGCTGCTTGGCGGCGCTGCTCAGCAGTGTGCTCCTGTGCGTCCTTGTGTGCAGCATCCTTGACGGCCTCGGGAACGTCGCTGTTTTGCACGAACTTGGCTCTGTCTTTGGGGTTCATTTGTGCCATTTGTTGAATGAACTCCAGCTTGCTCATGCGACGTCCGCCAGCGGTAACAGTGAATCGAATCAAATCGTCATCTTGCTGCTCCTTGGCAGCTGCTTCAGCCGCCTTCTTCTTCTTGTCATTCGCAGCTTGAGAACCCTCAGGGCCAGCGTGATGAGTGTTTGGAACGCCCATGTGAGTTCCCATGCGTTTCAAACTCTGGACGGCGCGACTTGACGATTCTGCCATAGATTGACCACGGGTGTTCACAGGCCGGCCATCCTTACCCTTCTTTGGCGCCGTTGGAATGTCGTACTTTTTCAAGACCTCGCCGTCTTCGTCTTCAACAATAATAGTGTTACCGTATTGATACGCGAGAGCGGGCCCAGGCTTGTGAGCTGGCTTGTCAGCCTTCGAAGGATCTGCTTGCTTGCCGTCTTTGTGCATACGCCCTGAGAAACTTTGCATACGGTTGCGCCACGTCTTGTGAGGATGCTCGATAGCGTTCTCAATCTTACTTGGGGCTTCTTCAAGTCCACTACCATGCTCTTTCTGAGACACTCCCTGCTGAACCTCGGCCTGGGTAATCAAGTCTTGTCCTCTCTGGATATCGTGCTCCTTTCGTACTTGGCCATGTTCGCCGTGACTATCCCTCACGCCCAAAACATTTCCTTCCTTGTCTTCGAAGACGGTTTGATGGCCTTCCTGATAAATTTCTTCCTCAGGCTGGCGCATCTTCATCTTCTCCTTTGCGCTTGATGAACTGGAACTAGAAATGGCCATGGCATCGGCAAACGTGTCTGTATCTTGTTCTGGTGGTATGGCCTCTACCTTGCCCTCATCACGCCTGTTGGGTGTAATGGCAGATTGAGCAATGGGACCGCCAGGTCCATGACCAGCATCCCAGCGCCTGCCTCTACCCGTAGGCTTAACAGAATTTGAACGGCTTGGGTTGTCTTCCTCCCTCTGTCGACGCAAAAATGAGCCACCGAAGCCTGTTGCAGCTGCAAAGTCAGATTTTTCGTCAAAGGATGATTCGGATGGGCGGCGTGCCATGGAAGATCTAGAACGCGATTGAATACGGGGAAGACGTTCCATCCAGCCAGGTCCGTTTTCGTTGCCCTGTGTGTACGACATTGATATCGTGAGGGTGTTGATACGTTTGCCAAGGGTGAAGACAGCAATCGAACTGCCATGGACAACAATACTGACAATAACCAAGAAACAGGTAATGGGCCATATCATCTCGATGATGTTCAGATGCTCAAAACCAGGTTCAGGTAATACAGCTAACGGCGTCGTGGTACCGGTCTCAAGCTCGGCTCGTGCAAGAATAGCAACGAACAAACCACCGACACCAATGGGTCCAAAGTGTCCAGCAAAAGATGCTTCGCGCCATGTCTTGAGATCCGGAATGATGGGTTTAAGCATCAACATGATTGGTATACGGCGGAAGAAGAGTACCAAGATGCCGAGCACAACCAAACGCCAGGGCGACAGTCCAATGATGTCGGAGTTGAACTGCTCCCAGGGAATGATGGAACCGAAGTAGACAAAGAAAGCCAAGTTAATGAGCAAGTCAATGACATTGGAAACATGGGACTCTTCTGTCTTCTCCAAAAACCATCCATCGTTCGAGAAGCCGACACCGCAAGCAAATCCTACGAGTAAGTCATCCATGCCCAAGAGCGAACCTGAGCCAGCGCAGAAAAGCGCGAGCACAAAGTAGAAGACGAGGAAACTTTCTCGATCGATGAGGTCGCGCTCGTGAGCATATCTAATAGCACGTCTTGCAATGTAGCCAATCACCACACCATAGAAAGCACCAAATATGCACTCGTAGAGGATTGTGTAACAGAACCAGTGGTACGCAACCTTGCTGGCGTCGGGGCGGTAATGGATAAGGTAAATGGCCAGGTAAACGAAGGGAAATGCCATACCATCGTTGCAGCCAGATTCAGCAGACAGCAAATCTCGCAAGTGCTTGGGGACTCGTTTAGCAAACTTGCCTTTACCGACAACGGACGAGGCCAGGACAGGATCAGTGGCAGTAACGCAAGCGGCAACGCAGAGACTGTCGAGCCAGTTGAGGTGGGAGTTGAACAGGCCCCAGATGAACAGGCTGGTTATCAGCCAGCCAAAAGTCATGACTGGGAGGAGTAGCAGGACCACCGACTTCCAGTGCTTCTCCATGTATGCGCGAGGCAACTCAACACCGACGGCAAAACATTGCACGACGAGGACAACGCGTGAAAACTCTAGAGTGATCAAGTCGACGTTGCCCCAAGTCGAAGGATCTATGAGATTGGCTGCATGGGGACCGAATATGATGCCACATATTGTCGCGACCGTGGCTTCACCAATGTACAGGCGTTCCTTGATGACGGAGGAACACAGCATAAACAAGCTGGTGAAGCCTCCGAGAATCAAGTACACCAGATGCGGCTTGGTGATGGACAGGTGGTCCCACGCCATGATGAAGCGCGACTAGCCTTGCTTTTTTTCTTCTGAGTTTCTCGTTGTGTCCACCCGAGTATAGCGGCGTATAGGTACGAAGCGCGGTGCGCGGGCAAAAGGTTTGTTATGTGGGGGGGGGTGAGGAGCCGGGGCCGCGTTGTCGAAAAGGTCGGCCAAGGTAGGAAAAAGATGGATCCAAAGTCGAATGCATGTACTTGAGGATCCGCCCAGGCGCCGGTCCTTTGATGGGGGGTGGATCGAGAGTGCCGTCTGGCGTGGTGGTACGAGGCCGGGAACGAAGCGCAGGTCGGCCTTGGGGGAATGCGACAAAAGGCGTGGCTATTGTTTTGACGGGTCAGAGCAGAAAAGTCTTGGACCGAAATCAAGAAATCTCAAGCCCAAGGCTTGCAGACACAGTGTTAGTCTCGGCAGTGCCAGCCGAAAGCTTGGATGGCGCGCGCCTGGCGGTCAGGTATCAACGATCCTTCACGCTCACCTTGCTCTTGGTGCGCGCGGATGGTTACAAGCAATGCGGTACTGCTCGATGGGCGCCTGGCAATTGCGTGTTGCCAGAAGTTTTGTTGTGGCAATTCAGCTTGACGAGCACGACGAGCGGACGACACAACGGCTATAATGTGATGGCCGTTCAGCGAAACTAAAGTGCTTGGTCGCTTGGCAATGACGTTGACTGGTCCGGGGGAGGTTGAGTGTCGCCTATCCTACGCCACAGATGCGCGAGCCTCAACGTTTTTGGTAGAGATAGGATGCCGACAATTGCCCGAGAGAACTGCCGTTATATCAACGGCCGTGCCAACCGTGATGCCCGAGAGTCCCGAAGCTTTTCGAACCCATTCCTATCAATGTGCTTGTTGTTGCTTTTCTTTGGGGTCCATCGGTCCAGATCGCACGCATCTTTATCGAATCTGCAGTGTGCAGAGCCACCTGACAAAGACTTCTGCAGGCCGCCTATCACATGATGTCTTGAGATGTGCTGCCCTGCACTCTATCTGCATCAAAGCCGATCAGCGCGGTCAGCAACGATGCTTGGCCCGTAGTTACCGGTAGCACACGACTCGCGTGCTCGCATCTTACCCTTGACCGCTGAGCCGCTCAACACCATACAAACTGACGGCGACGCCGTCCAGGTACTAGTTGCCAATGTAGGCCATGCATCCCCAGTCTGAAGAGCGGTATAGCCGCGATAAGCTCAGACCTAAGAGTGGTAACTAAGAATGCAGGTCATTCTTAGATATCCCATCCAAGTGGGGCGACAAACACCAAGCCACACCAGTGACAAGCCACGATGTATATGTACATAGAGTACATACGTTGTAGTGTATACACCTATAGTGCATACCTATACTTACAACACCGGACTTTGGGTTGATTGTCTAGTAATTTCTTGCCAGCTACAACACAAGGAACATGCAAGAAAGGCTGCCAACCATCCAACCTAGGGACATGCTAGCCTTTGCCGTAAGACATCGGGAGAAAATGACCAAATAGAAACCCTCGTATGCGAGTGCTGAAAACAACAACATGCGATATTTTTGTTGACGCAAAGTACTACAGGGTCGTGTGCTACGTGGTTAAGCAAATATATACACATGCGGATGCGTAACATTTGCGTGTCGAAAGGAAGAAATACCAAACTCCAAAAAAAACAATAAAATGGAGATGTAAATACAGTGGCTGCGCAGCCAAGAGAGCGTCTACTTCCGTCCCCTTTATGTATGTGCATGTACAAGGAAACGCGTCTCATCTATATGACATGTGACGCCTATCAAGCCCGTTGATCAACACGACCATGATACATAGTTTTTACCAAGGTGACATGTAAACATCCCACTTGCGAGCGGAAAATGTATGTATGCATACGTCATCTCCAGCATGGTGTTATGATGTTACACCGGTTTTTTTGCTCTCATCTGTCTCCCCTATCGGACCGAACAGAAACCACCACTCTATCGTACATATGTTCCTACTACAAGTTTTGGCGAGCAGATGATCACACGTCAGGGAGGGGTCAAGTGGGTGAACGCTTGCGTTGCGGCAGGATTCGTGTAATGATTGGAAGAAAATATTTACAACCAGCCTTGGTCGATGAGATAAGTACAGTGGGCGACGGGAAAAAAATGAAGCGGGGGCGGCAGGGCTTTGCAAGAGCCCAATGACCAAGCCCGACGATGCTGTCAACAACAACAATAACAAAAAAGCAAGCCCAATGCTAACCATTATGAAACACGCCAGACAAAAGGATCATCCCAGTCGTCCCCTAAACGCCCGAGGGCTGCAAACTTTCAACCTCGTAAAGAAATGGACAAGTATGAAATAAATCTAACATGGGGAATATGCAAAACATGCCTTTTCGCCTCATGTGCCCGTGGTCGCAACAAAACAAACCCCCCAGAATTCGCCCATACCCAGATATAAGGTCATATGCACAGACCATGTCTAAAACTGTAGTGAGAGAAAATATCGTCCAATATAAGTAATGTGCATGAACGTAAAAAAAGATGCGTTACGCGTGACATCATAAGTCTCAGTCGTTGTTGCTCAATGACCGACCGGGAGCCATGTTCGCCTTTCATCCATGCTCCGGTTCGCACGGCCCCCTGGCGTTAAGGGTATCTCGACACGCGCCCGGTCACGGCGCTCAGGGTCGCTGTCAGAATCGTATGCGTCTGACAACCGCGAGAAGTAATCGGCCAATCCGTTCGTAGGCGATGCAATCGTCTCGTAAAGCGGCGGCGGCGTCTCTAGCGGCGGCGGTGGCTCGATTTCGGAGAAGGCTGGTGGGTTGAACGAGGGTACACGCAGGAGATGCATTGGTCGTGGAACGGTAGAGTCGTTTGGTCCGCCGATATGTGCTGCCTGCGGCCGAGTGATCCCTGATGCCGGTGATGGTAATGGTGGTTCGGTATGGCCTCTTGGCCGGCCCATACTACCCAAGGTTGGTACAAAGCCTGGTGGAGATGGGCGGCGAGATGGTGCGTCGGGACATCCGCACTCAGGTACCCGCGCTCCGCTCATCAAAGGTTCAGGTGATGAGTAAGCTGGCAGTGCTATGTTTGCTTGTGTAGCTTGACATGAAAGGATGTGGAAAGGTGAATCAATCGAAATTTCAAAGTGTCGTCGTTTTGACGGATCATTTGCGTCCGGTTTCGAAAGGCGCATGACAAGCTAAGAGAGTATTAGCATATGCGACAACAATCCCTTCAATGTGGACTTACCTTTATCCAATGATGCACCTGAATGTTCTGGTACGTCGTGTCAAAGTGCAGCTTTGATGACTTGTCCTTCTCTCGGAGGTTGTGACAGCTTGGCAATTGCACATTGAACTCCATTTCGGTCGGACCAATGTTTGAGTCGGCACTGAGATTACCCAGCAAATTGGTAGGGTCTTCCACCGATACATCTTCGCCGCGAGAAGCTGCCGCGCGCATGTCGTATGGGACACCACCTCCAGACACTATCCGCATGGTGCTACCGGGGAAAGTGCTCGTCGGCGGGCCATCTGCACGTTTTTCGAATAGTTGGACCTTACGCACTGGCTCCATCCGATGTACCCGCTTGTTGTTGCAAAAGTACTCGACATTCTCAGTAACGAACACCTTTATCCGATGGCATTGGACCTTGGCGAGTGGGGTAAGCTTAAAAGCAATTGGAACTTGTGCTCCAAGCGGAAATGATTTGCCCGAGATGACAATGTCATAGTGAAGCTGATCTTCCCAGCTGCGGCTGATGGCAATGGGCTCCACTTGCTCCAGCGATCCTTCTGAGGGTGCACGGATGAGCGTAACTTCCTTGGTACCAACGAGGTTGGTGCGGAAGGCCCCGGCACGCTCGACAGTGGCTTCAAGCTCGTACTTGACTGAACCAAGGTCGACGTCAATGGTCTCGGGAAGGTGACTGTCTAGTGGCAGCTCAAAGTTGTACATGTACTCGCCAGGATTGAAGGTTCTGTAACCTTTCTGTGCTACCGAAGGGCCGCCACCAGGGGTGTCACCCTTGCCGAAGCTTCGGGATTGGTTAACTTGGAGTGATAACCGTTTTGCTTCTTTTGTCGTGAGGTTCAATGAGGAGTTGTTGGGCGAGCCAGTCAAGCCACCGGAACTCTTGTATAATTCCACATGATCTGCACCAGTGCCATTTTCTGCCGTCGGGAATTGAGAGTTGAAGAATGGCCACGTGTGGCTCATCAGGGTATCCACCTCTTCAAATTCAGTCTTCTTTGGGGGAATACCTATTGATAGTCAGTATTGTAATAGGCACAAGGAGGGGGCATGATCAACCTTCTGGCCATTTTGTGGTTGCCTTGCCCCGGAATTTCAAAGTGACGGCCTTTAGCTTCGCTGATTTGGTGATCTTCAGGCACAGGGTACCACGCAACATTGCAGTATTGCGCTCACCGTTCTCGGCTTGCTCAAAGCCCCGAAGAAACAAAACTGGTTCGGTGAGCTGCACATTGACGCTCAAGCCACCACCTGAAGCTATTGGTTTTTCTTCAGGCACGGACTTCACGCTGCTTATTGCGCTCTTGGTAGATGAACGCCCAGAGGACCAATGTGACTCTGTCGAGGGTCTTGAGATGCCGGTTGCGGCCAGTGTCCCACCAATTGCGCCGACGGCGTCACTGGGAGAGTTTCTCGTGAGCGATCTCATGTCGCGGGAGCGTGGCTCTGGAATTGAGGTAATGGAGCTGCGGTTGCTGCTAGAGCCACTTGTTGATGAGCGTGGAGTAGGAAGGTCTGCAGTTTCGGGTTTGGAGGAGAGGCGGTTATCAAGCAGAGAGCGGAAGAACCGTTTGGCACCTTCGTGATGGATCGCCAGTTTTTCGGTGATGTACGACTTCTCAGTCGTTCGTCGTCGCTGAATGCGAAGTAGGGGATCAGGTCCTACGTGAGCGATGTGAATGCGGTGTGGTCGACGATTGCGACCTTGGAATGTGCCACGGTTTGTTCTTATTGGGTCTTCTAGATGGTCGGGAATATAACGTAAACGGCCACGATCAGAGTATACAGGTTGGTACTCTGGCATGTCGATGATGGGTTAGTATGTGTGTCAATTGCAGGTAAACGAAGTGATGAGGCGATGCATGCGGCGAGCGATGTCTTATAGAGCGTGGGTGTAGGTGTATGTGTATGTGTGTAAAGGACAAGAGTATACAAGAGCTTGAGGAATGGAATAGTTCCGAGTCATGAACGGGACACAAAGAGGTGTTTGGTCAAGGCAACCCAACCATGGTCCTTGTCGATGCTTTTGGTAAGGAGGTTGTGGGTTGGGCGCTACTGAGACAAAGGGTCCGGGTGCAGTGAAGGGGAAATGAGGCGAGGACTTACGGGCAGGATCAAGGTATCAAGATGCTACGGTGAGCATAGTGATGTGTAAATGGGATGGGATCCGCACGACAGGCCGCTATAATAATGTGGAGCGGTGTGGTTGCCGGGGAGTCGGAAGGGAGCGGGTTTGCCCTATTACTGAGCGTCTGCGCTGTCGGTAAAGACGAGTGTTTTGTCAGGTGAATAATGGTGCGGGCGACAGGGACATGGAGTGTTTTGAGGTGTGCCCAAACTAGCATGCATTCATTTTACGGGTGGGCATGTCAGACTAAGCCAGGACAGACGGCGAAAGTATGCCGGGGCGCAAGTGCAGGGAACCGGATGACGCGGACTCCTCAGTGTGCTGTTGCTCGGCGGGGGTCGCGGCACTAGGCAGGCCGAGGATGAAGGGGTGCGCAGTAGGTTCTGCAGTGGCACGACTGCGTGGACGAGGGAGGAACAGTATGTAGGTGGTAGTAGTAGAGTAATTTGCGCGTCAAGGAAGTGAGTCGGACAGTCGTCTAGCCGCGGAGATCGACTAAGCATGGGATTAAATGAGGTGTAGTAAGCTTGCGTGGACGGAGGCTCGGATGCATGACATCATGGCTGGCATCCAGAGATTGCAAGGCGCTGGAGACAAGCAGCAAGCGTTGGTTTCTGAACTGCTATCATCTGCTTCTAGACCGTTTGCCGGCTAGCGACCGACGCCGGCGGCTCACCCGGCAAGGTACTGAGATCGACGGATCATGACCTTGGTCTACCCACCAAGGTTGCACGCAGTCGTGACATGGACGCAGACAACCAGATCCTCGCGCAGCTGATGGGAGGAGACAACATGGCAGTGCCCGCATTGCCCGCCTTTCTATCTGGGCGGGCCTGGGCATGGTCATTGTGTGCCTGGGCACCGCACGGTCGCAGTCTGACAGCATCCATGCGACGAGGAACAGCAGTCTGTTCACGTACAGTAGTATGGTATGTATACACCTAGTGCTGCTGCCATAAGCCCGCCAGACAAACCAACGACCGCAACCGTCTCATGCAACCGACAAAACTCGTACTCCGCGTGCCCTAGCACTCGGCGCTTGCACCATAGCCTGGACCCGGGGGCAGTTGACGCAGTATTGGCAGGGCATCAGCGGCATGCGTCCCACCATGGCATGGGTGTCGAAAAGAAAAGTGTATGGCCCAATCCAGTACTGATCGCCATCTGGGGGTGCTGAATCTGGAGGCAGGTTGCGCTATCGGCAGCAGAGCAGGTCACTGCCAACTCGTCGCCCCAAATGCGCGATCTCAGGAACAGGGCAGTTCGTCATGATGCCATCCCTGGAACAGTCAGATCAAGGTTTGGGTGTCTGGGTGGATACCCGGCAGAGGAAAAGCTTTTTTTTCTTGCTCTTGCATTTGCGTGGCCACATATGGATCGCCTGGGGGAGATCGCTCGAGGCAGAGCGGAAGGAGCAGCGAGATGGCGCCGACGCGGACGTAAGACGAGGCGAGGCGAGAGCCCGCCAAGGCCAGGAGAATTCTCTAACCGACAAGTCCAGGGCGGGATCACGTGACTTCGCTTTTGCCAGACTTCCCCGCAACGCGCACGCGCGCTACAATCGGGCTTAGCTCGGACACGCTGCTCGTTCGGCGCTTCACTTCCACACACAACATTGTGACTTGCGCATGCCGCCACAACGGTGATGGACGCAACAGATGGAGCCTATGGTGCGTTTGGCGCTCCCATATACTGCTCGCCCACATGGACTTACACACTGCAGGGACAAGCCAACTGCCCCTGGCTGGGGCCATCCTCTGCTGCACCTCGATTCCCCCCGAGCAGCGCGTACGCCCACCACCGCCCTGTTTTCTCTATCGCACCTGCTAACCCCATGTCCCTGTGCAGTCTCAACTCGCATCCATTGGTGCGCAGATGGGCGCGACCATCAAGCTTGACCTCACTTCGGACGTTACCCACCTCATCGTCGGCAGCATTGACAGCGCCAAATATCGCTATGTCGCAAAGTCCCGCGACGACGTCAAGGTTCTCTCCCCCGCATGGCTCGAGGCTCTCCGCGAGGTCTGGATGAGCGGAGACGACGATCTGGACGTGGCAGCACTGGAAAAGGAATATCGCATGCCTACTTTTTTTGGCCTCAGGATATGCCTCACTGGCTTCGACAACCGTACACCCCCACCCCCACACATACGTGCAACTATCCCACGCTGACTCCCAATAGCTGAACAACGGCGGAGTATCCAGGAGACAATCGACGCAAATGGCGCCGAATACCATGGCGACCTTACCAAATCCGTGACCCATCTCATCGCCGCCACGCCATCGGGCAAGAAATACGAGCATGCTGTGAATTGGAGAATGAAGATTGTATCTTTCGAATGGCTGGAGCAGAGCCTCGAGAGAGGCATGGCACTCGAAGAGTCCCTCTACAACCCAACCATGCCCACCGAAGAGCGGGGCCAGGGCGCCTGGGACCGCAGACAGCCCATGTCGCCCGCCATGGGCAAACGCACACGAGACACCGAACCGAGCCAGGCACTCAATCCGTTTCGAAGAAAGTTGCGACGTTCAGCGAGCACAAAGTTAGGCAGTCAGAGTGATGCTCTATGGGCGGGCATTACTGCGCCAAGCTTCGAGAGACCGATCGACGAGGACGAGTGGACTGAGGACATTCTTGCTAAGCAACAAAGCACTCGAGCAAGTACACGCACACATACACCCGTGTCGCCTGCCAAAGATGCGTCTACCCTGGCACATGATGCGCTTGCCGAGTCGAAGCCTCGAGACCCTGCAGATGCCCAGCAACCACCCCTGCCTCTGCAGCCTGACAATGATTCCGGATATAATGGCATTTTCCAAGGGCGCCTCATTTGCCCACATGGATTTGATGCAGAAAAGGTCCAACATTCCCCACCCGTGCGCTCTAGACCCTGCTGACATGCTGGTAGACAAGCATCTTGCGGCAACATCTTGAGAGTAATGGTGCGCGAGTCATCCGCGTCATTGACCTCAACAATTTCCCATTGGATCAACTCAAACAAAGCTATGTCGTGATACCGCATGACGCTGAGATTGATCTGACGGCACTTCCGGCCCATGCCGGATCATATGTAAGCTGGGTCACCAATTGGTGGGTCGAGCGTTGCCTGTATGGAAAGCGCCTCGTTGATCCTGCAGACGATGTCTTAAGCCGACCTTTTGAAAGACTAAGCATTAGTGGTATGTTTGTGGCCCACAAATCCCTTATTGGTTCTGACGTCGTCAGGGTTCTCCGGCTTGATCATCAACTCCACGGGGTTTTCCGGCATCGAATTGCTGCATGTGACCAAAGTCGTCACACTTATGGGTATGTGAATATTCGAAAAAACCGCACCTACTGCAGCAGTCTGACTCATTTGGCAGGCGCCACGTATGATGAACAACTGTCGGTAAAGACATCAGTAGTGATCTGCAATCCTCCCACTGTAAACACACCAAAAATCAAATTTGCGACGGACAAGCGTATACCAGCTGTTCACGTCACTTGGCTGTGGGCATGTCTGCGCAGCGGACGACTGCAGTCATATGACGAATATCAATTAAATAAGACGACTCAGCCACCACCGCAGGATCCAAAGCAAAAGCTCCAGCCACAAGCAAACGTAGATACTGAGCCACTTCCCGAGGGCCCATCCAAGCCTCTTCAGAAAGCGCAGACTGCGAACGTCGCGTCGAGACAGCCACCACAACAAATACCTCAACGGCCTGGGGGGCTTAATCTTGCACCGTCCGCCGATGCGACCTTGCCAATAACAGCTAACAAGTCTGCCCTTCGCAGTAAAGATAGCAATAACCTGAATCAAGATGATGATCCGATTATCAGCGCATATGATGGCGGAGCATCGCATCCCCATCAGGCAATCAATGCTGCCTCTCCACCCCGACCATCAACCCCATTAAACAATTCATATACTTTCTCACGGCCAAGAAGCTCATCTGCAGAGTCGCTCATTGCCCCCGCGTCCCGCAAACCCAAAAACAATCAAACCACAGTCACCAGACCCTTAGGCTCGGAACCTAGACCGGATGTTGTCATTCCGCCAGATACCGAGCCGCTAGTCCCGCAAGAAGCGTCCAAGCCTCGAGAAACCGCAGAAGAGAAAGATTACTCGTCTATTCTAGCGCAACTACGTGCCAATCGTAAGACTGCACCTGGTCCTAGTGATCAGGCTACATCAAAAACACGCATACGACGTCAGCTCGGCCGGGCAACATCGACACGTTCCAATGCGTCGGGCGGGGAAAGCTCAGGTGATATACTTGCAGATGATGACAACGAGAATACTGTAGTGATAGAGGAATATCAGGCCAGTCAGACATTGGGCTGGGACTCGCCAGGTGCGGCTAAAGCAAGAGAGCAAATGATTCGGAAACTCGGCGGTACTGTGCAAGAGAAAAGCGTTGCTGTCGAGGAAATCGGTGTTGTAAGAGACGTTGGCGGTGAAGAGCTGCTAGGGAGAGCGGGCAGGAAGAGGAGAGGATGAAACATGTGAAATGTGCATATGTGGTTTGTATATGTATGCGGAGCATTCTGGATGTACAGCATCAAATTAGCATGAAATGAGCGCATAGCGAGGGTGTTTTGGGTAAAAATGCATATAGACAAGATAGTCTCTAGACACTATAATGACTTACCATGACTCTATTTCTTACAACACTTATATCCCTAACCTTAAATCCCATACGTAACCTTCAGCCTCCTCTCCAAATGCCCCTTGGCAGTAATAACCTCATCCTCCCCTTCCTCACTCAACCCCAACCTCTGCCTCTGACTCCTCAACTCCTTCTCCCCCTTCCCCTCACGCCCAAACTCTTCAATCAACGCACTAGGCACAGCCTCCAACCGCACGTCATCCAGCGGGTGACAAAAATACGCCATGCTATACCTCTCCTCCCCACCGCCAAACGTCACACGATGCACCGTCGACTTGAGCAGCCCATTCGTCCAATAGCACAGCAAATCCCCAATGTTAACCAAAATAGGCGGATGCTCTAGAGCATCCGGATCGGGATTCACAGGCACGGGAACCCAGCTTTCCCCGTTCTTCGTTAGCAGCTCCAAGCCAGCCTGCCCGGGGAGCCGGAACAGCAGCGTGACGCTCCCGTAATCCGAGTGCGCGCCTGCGCGGATGCTGATTTCGTCGGATGTCGCCGTAGCAGACGATGATGTCTTGGGGTAGTACAGTAGACGGAAGATGGTACCTGAAGGGCCGCGAGATTGGTCGTGGCGGGTGCTGAAGTAGTCTTTTTCGGGGATGAGGAGGGCGGTGGAGAGGAGGGAGAGGATCTGTGTGCAGAGGGTGTGGCAGGAGGTTTGGAAGCGGGATATCAAGGGTGTGGAGGAGGAGAGGGGGGAAGGGAGGGGTTGGAGGGCTGGTTGCGGTGGGGCGATGTTGAAGGCTTCTTTTGGGTCGCCTTGCTACGAAGGGGGGTTGTTTTGTTAGGAGAGTGGAGGTGAAGGGGGAATTTGGGGGGTTACTCTTACCTTTTGGCCTTGGGGGTCGAGCGATTCACCTTGCATGGATACCCAACCGCGGTTTATGCCGCCGGCTTTGTCTGAGTGGATTGCGTATTCGGCCTTTTGTTCTTTTGGGGAGGCGAAGAATTGTTTGCTCTGATTTGGTCAATCTCGATTGTTTGTTTGATGATGTGATTGTTGGTCCTACAAGTTTGAACATATCGTCTATGTCTTGAGGTGGGATGGTTGCACCATCATTCTTTATGTAGAGAAAGCCATGCTTAGATGCTGCATCGAGAACTTGTTGGGCTACCTCTTCGGATGGATTTGATATGTCGATGACCGGGATAGCACCCTGGTCGTGCTCGGTGCTAGACATTTTGTAGAAAGTTCGTATAGGAGATTGAAAGGATGACGGGTATAGATAACACAAGTGAGGGGCAATGGTCGTATTCCAATGGCTGATGCACTAAACGAAGTCTACGCAGAGAGTGTGTAATGCTTGCCATCTCCAAGTTTAAGGTTTTCCAGCTGAAGTATGCCGCCCGCTCATTGACTACACCTCCATACGCCATGCACTCGCGTAGCAGTGCGGCGCTGTACCTGAACTAGCGCCCGGCTGATCAGGGATTCCAAAGTTCCCACGTTACACGCCAAGACGTGGAGCTGCGTCGGAGCTCCCAATTTCCCTACACAAGCACCCCGCAAACACTTCCAATTCATCCACGGTTGCCCTGGCCATAGTCCTACCACACTAGTACCACGGTATCATTCCCAAACTTATATTAGACTACCTTTTCTTTAATTCCACCCCTCATTCCCACCGCCTATCTGGCAAGCCACACACGCGACTGGCGCCATGATCCGCGACTTTGTGCAATGGACGGCCGCCTTCAGCGAGACGGGCGAGCTCGAGCAGCTGCGCGGCTGTCGCGTAGGCATTGAGGCCGCCGAGTATCTCAACCAGCGTATTCTCAACCACCCCCGCGCAAAGGAGCCCCTCGTCCCCGCACTTGGAGGTCTCCCACTGGCATTGGCGCAACACATTGAAGAAGATCTGGCCGCTTTCCGCAGTTTCGAGATTGAGCCTTACTTTGTATTTAGTGGGTTGGACATTACAAAGCAAGGAAATCCATTCGGGCACAAGACCGCAGAGGCGACTGTGAATGCAGATGCATGGAATTTGTACGACAGCCACCAGGCTGAGGCTTCAGTCGCTCGGTTTGGAGAGTCAAGTATGGCAGTCGGAGAGGACGTGGTTTGCATACGGTACTGACTGGTTGCAGCATACGTCACACCAGAAGACCTCTTTCGCGCATTGCAATCTATCCTTACCGAACAAAAGACTCGCTGGACGGTTGCACCATACAGTGCCTGGGCTCAGGTAACAGATACAACACAGATGTGACAGCAAGGCCTAACAATGTACAGCTGGCATATCTTGAGAAGGCCGAATACGTCCACGCCATCGCCGCTTCGTCAGACACCCTCATCTTCGAAGCCACCCGGCTCATCACATCATGGGACTTTGAGACGCGGCAATTCAGCTTTATACGACGAGAGAAATGTATAGCCGATCTGTCCAAGTTCGTCAGCGCACCTCAGATTTCCGAAGACATCTTTCTTGACACTTGCATACTGGCTGGAACGCCATTCCTCCCTACACTTCCCATATTGGATGCGCCAAATAGGGCAGAGCTTTTGAAACCCTACAGTGCCATCAAGATGATTATGAGCAACGGTCAGTCGGGCTACTCTGTTGTCGTTAGCAACAACGATGTCCCGCCCTCTGGGAAAGAGTATGTGACTAGGTACCAAAAGGCACGCCTGGCTGTCAAGAACCATCCTGTCTACACAGAGGACGGAAAGATTGAGCCTCAGAACCCGGCCTCTATACCAAATGATGCAGTCGAGTACCTGGGTCGTAGGCTACCAGATGAAATACTACACTACATGTCAAAGGGCCTCATCAGCCCACGTATCCTTCAGTGGCGTACTACTGGCGAGATATTCGAAGTTCCCCCTATGGACGGAGGAGACTCGCCGGAATACAGGAATCTTGTGAGCTCGAAGCTAATTCCACTGCGGACATCGGTAATAAACCTGCTTTCCAGCTCTCTGCACAACTGGTATCGACACAACGATCTTGAGCAGACAAACTGGTTTTCGCCTCCGGATTCAAATAGGAAATTGGCATCCACTACTATCCACGTCGAGAGGCCATCAGAAGCACAAGCTCCCTCCATTGTCGACACATGGAATGTCAAGGAATCCACCTTCAAAGACGCCGTTGGAAAATACAAGGTAAACAATCTTCCCAACTAACTTTCTTCTGGTACTAACATGAACACTAGGATTGTGGAATCCTCGGGGCAGCCATCTTGTCTTTGCGAGATGCTGACTTCGCCGCCAAGACCATATCTAAGAAGGAACACAAGAATCCACTCGCATCCTCCACTGAGATCCTTTACAACTCAATATGGCGCTTCCTCGCTTTACGTGAGTACGTGGACCAGAAGACGCACAACTTAACCCAATGGGGAAAGGTTCTTGCGGCTGTTATATCTGGACTCAAGGGTAAGCCAGAGCATGAAGAGGCAGCGGTGCTGGCAGTCGAGTTGATCCGCATGGGTCTCTTGACTTCAGATATCAACATGTTCCCTACATACAACGGCGCACCAATGCGCGGTAGCAGTGAGTCAACAGTTTTAGATACGTGCAAGTTCACATAGCTAACAACCCCACAGCAAAGGACAAGAACTCGAACATGCTAGTATCTCGCGTTGCTGGTCTTGGTATTTTGCACCACCGACCGATTGGTTTCACTGGTCCTCTTAGCCAACACCTTCTCGGATATAACTCCATCATCAACGTTGTCCGTCAGACTCTGCGGGAACTTGTCGAAGTGGCGTGTACACACATGTTTTTGACTGGCTGTGCCAATCGTCATGTTGATATTACATCGGTCGCTATGAAGTAAGTGATTTTGGAGACTTTTCGTCTCTTGTAGCATGCTGACGTTCATCAGACTTCCCTTCCTTTTACCGAACAACTGCGCACTGAGCATTGCCGTCAAATCCTACCTTGATGAGTTACTTAGTAACGACGCCGATCCCACAGCTGCGGAAACCAAAGCCCGTGTAATTGAAACAGCATCAACACGCTACTTCCCACAATCGCTCAACTTTGTTGAAGACCTCACGACGGCTTTCTCCATGTGGGACGCCATCTACGCTGGAGTCAACAGTGCAAGCAGCGCGACTATCCCAGAAGCCACCAAGCAAGCCTGGACGGAGACGAACCAATGGCTTGCTGAACGGCGATAGTACCGCGGAAATGACCAGTATATTGAGAGGTTAAAACGCACGATGAGAAGCGGAGTGGCAGATTACATAGCTCAGAAGACTCGATTGCGAATTGTCAGGGGTGCCATGCGGGGCCTGAGACAACGTCAGGCTGCAGATCCAAGGGCGAGAGAAGAGGACTTGGAAGCCCTTGATGAGCAAATGAGAGAGCTGGCTTTATTGCTAAACTATGGGGAATAGTCATGATAAGATGAGACCCGTAGGTTTATGCTTTCGAAATGAGAGATTTTACAGGAAATCTAATATTTTACACTGTGAATTGGTGGTATCTTTTTGCTTTATGAGCTGTAATGTGACCCTTCACTTATGAAATGAGTGTTGTGTAGTTGTAGTCATTCAGTGTTTTGAGCGTAGTAGGCGAGTCATGGTCATTTGAACACTTGGACTTGGTTGATGATTGATGAGTAGTACTTTCATATCTTAAAATGATTTATAGTGACAAACATCTTTTGTTTTTTCTAATTTCACAGGACACATATGCTGCTGACCTGATAGAATTGAATATCTACTGTCTCATACCAGCAGGCAGTCATTGTACTATACGAAATCAGGGCTTCGGGCAATATGCCTTATCGATACGTGAAGGCCCCCCCCCATCACAACGTGAAACCACCGCACCTTGCTTTTGCTGGAGCCACGTTGGCCATTAGTCTTATTAATATCCAGAGAGAGAGAGAGAGAGAGAGCGAGAAACAGTGAGGGCATGTCAAGCTGTTATACTCCGCCGGCGGGTTCGGGCCAGATTCACTTATCGTAAACACCCGAAGAACTGATATGGATATCTCTCTTGGCGTTGCTATGGTGGCGTAAGTGAGGCTGTAGCAGGCTCCAGGAGGACGCGTAGCAGCGCCAGTCTCAGTTGGGTACGGCTAGTATTGGTACCCACGGGATAATGATTGGCCAAGCCGGCGCCTGTAGGTGGCAATGGGATACAGCTCGCGGTGAAGGGGACACAGTGTTTCTTAGTACTTAGTTTTGCTTGTCTAAGCGGTTCCAGCAACTTCCAATGGCGTTGCGGACCGAGCACGGACCTTAAGGCAACATTGAGCTAGCTCTAACAGTGAGATCACCGACTGTTCAAGCTCCAACTTACTTAAACCACCACGCCCCAGGCATAGAAGGTCGTTTAAACTCCATCTAACCCCCCACCCTACCCACCGATACCCTTCACACCTGCGTTGCTGCGTCAACTGTCACTTTTTGTACCGGAATTCCGAATCCCGCAGCACATCACATAGACACATCAGCAACATGTCGGCTGAACCAGACCACACGAAGCCGAAGCCGGATCTCTCAAAGTGAGTTGATTGCCACCAGCTCTAGAATTGACAATATACTTACATCTCGACAGAAACCCGGACGGCGCTGAGCCCAAGGAGGTAGGCACTGATCAATGCTCTTGATGCGACGGCCCCGCTAACCCGCCACAGAACGATGAGACCGCGACCGCCATTCTCAAGAAGAAGAAGAAGCCAAACTCGCTGATGTGAGTACATCTGGAAATGAAACTTTGAATTGGATACTGACCTTTGTAGCGTTACCGATGCTGTCAACGATGACAACTCTATCATCGCCCTCTCAAACAACACCATGGAGACCCTCCAGCTCTTCCGCGGTGACACAGTCCTGGTAAAGGGCAAGAAGCGAAAGGACACCGTCCTCATCGTGCTCGCTGATGACGATCTCGATGACGGCTCAGCGCGGATAAACCGTGTTGTTCGCCACAACTTGCGGGTCAAGCACGGCGACGTTATCACCATCCACCCGTGCCCCGACATCAAATATGTATGTGTCATTATTACAAAACTGCGATTTCTGCTCAATTCTGACTTCTATCACAGGCCAAGCGCATTGCAGTCCTCCCCATTGCCGACACTGTCGAGGGTATCACCGGTTCGCTCTTCGATGTTTTCCTTGCGCCATACTTCCGCGAAGCCTACCGACCGGTCCGCCAAGGCGACACCTTCACAGCCCGCGGTGGTATGCGACAAGTCGAGTTCAAGGTCGTTGAAGTCGACCCACCAGAGTTTGGTATCGTCGCACAAGATACCGTCATCCACTGCGAAGGCGAGCCCATCCAGCGTGAAGATGAAGAGGGCAACCTCAACGAGGTCGGCTACGACGACATTGGTGGCTGCCGAAAGCAGATGGCACAGATCCGAGAGTTGGTTGAGCTGCCACTGCGGCATCCTCAGCTCTTCAAGTCGATCGGTATCAAGCCCCCGCGTGGTATTCTCATGTACGGCCCTCCTGGTACCGGTAAGACACTGATGGCTCGTGCCGTTGCAAACGAGACTGGTGCTTTCTTCTTCCTGATCAATGGTCCCGAAATCATGTCCAAGATGGCCGGTGAATCAGAGTCAAATCTGCGCAAGGCATTCGAGGAGGCCGAGAAGAACTCGCCCGCCATCATCTTCATTGATGAAATCGACTCAATTGCGCCCAAGCGTGAGAAGACCAACGGTGAGGTCGAGCGCCGTGTTGTCTCTCAACTTCTTACCCTCATGGACGGCATGAAGGCTCGCTCCAACGTTGTCGTCATGGCCGCCACCAACCGTCCCAACTCTATCGACCCTGCTCTCCGTCGTTTCGGTCGTTTCGACCGTGAGGTCGACATCGGTATTCCCGACCCCACCGGCCGTCTCGAGATCATGCAGATCCACACCAAGAACATGAAGCTTGCCGACGACGTCGACCTGCAGACCATCGCCGCCGAGACCCACGGTTATGTCGGTTCGGATTTGGCGTCGCTGTGCTCTGAGGCTGCCATGCAGCAGATTCGTGAGAAGATGGATTTGATCGACCTTGATGAGGACACCATCGATGCCGAAGTGCTCGACTCGCTCGGTGTTACCATGGAGAACTTCCGTTTCGCTCTCGGCGTATCTAACCCATCAGCTCTCCGTGAGGTCGCTGTTGTCGAGGTGCCCAACGTCCGATGGGAGGACATTGGTGGTTTGGAGGACGTCAAGCGCGAACTCATTGAGTCCGTGCAATATCCCGTTGACCACCCAGACAAGTTCCTCAAGTTCGGCATGTCCCCATCACGAGGTGTGCTCTTCTACGGTCCTCCTGGTACCGGTAAGACGCTTCTTGCCAAGGCTGTCGCCAACGAGTGTGCGGCCAACTTCATCTCCATCAAGGGACCCGAACTGCTCTCCATGTGGTTCGGTGAGTCTGAGAGCAACATCCGTGACATCTTCGACAAGGCTCGTGCTGCTGCACCTTGCGTTGTCTTCCTTGATGAGTTGGACTCTATTGCCAAGTCGCGTGGTGGATCTCAAGGCGATGCTGGCGGTGCTTCGGACCGTGTTGTCAACCAGCTTCTGACTGAGATGGACGGTATGACATCAAAGAAGAACGTGTTCGTCATTGGCGCTACGAACCGACCGGAGCAGCTCGATAACGCGCTGTGCCGTCCTGGTCGTCTTGACACGCTTGTCTACGTTCCTCTGCCTGATCTGGCGTCACGTGTCAGCATTATCAAGGCTCAGCTCCGCAAGACACCTGTGGCTGATGATGTTGACATCGACTTCATTGCGCAAAACACACACGGATTCTCTGGTGCCGATCTTGGTTTCGTCACCCAGCGAGCCGTCAAGCTGGCGATCAAGCAGTCGATTGCGATTGACATTGAGCGTCGCAAGGCTCGCGAGGCTGCTGGCGAGGATGTCGACATGGAAGTTGACGAGGAGGATCCCGTACCTGTGCTGACCAAGGCGCACTTTGAGGAGGCTATGCGTTCTGCCCGTCGTTCGGTGACCGATGTCGAGATCCGCCGATATGAGGCCTTTGCGCAATCAATGAAGAACTCTGGCGGCTCCAGCTTCTTCCGCTTCCCTGACGCGGAGAACGCCGCGGCTGGTGGCGACCAGAACACATTTGGAGCTGGTGGCGAGGATGAGGACCTGTACAACTAAGGAAAGGTTGTAGCAGGGAAGGACAGAAGAACGGGACTGGGATGATATAGCCTTTATGAGAGACGGGTTTAGCGTTTTTTTCTTCACGGCAAGGCAATGCATGAACCGGGCCTTTGGAGGGTTCTGGATGAGTGCAGACACGGGGGGATAATTGGGGAGACATGATGATGAGATATTGGTAGCAGCAGCAGTAGTTGCCATGATGCAGTGAATGAATGAGAATGCATGTTATGAAGAAAAAGAAGAAGATTTGTATAGTACTGTGATTGTAGTGTGATGTGATTTGATTTGATGTGATTGATTGATTGATGTCTAGTGTGACGAGGGTATTTCCCCTGGCACTATGGTGGTAGATAGGGCTACATAGATTATTTGTTGAACAAAAGGTTGTAGCTACTATACGGAATCTTGTCTGTATGGTACAAGTCTGCATTCTCTGCCGTTGCGATGTGATGATAACGATGTAGTAGAGGAGGTGCAGAGAATATGTACTTAAGTATGTACGTATGTGTTTGTGCATGGATATGCTGGCGAATAGTGGATCCCGAGGGTTTGCAACGGTGGCAAGGTGCAAGCACAAGGGTCCGTGAGGAAGATAGGCCCTGAACAGCGTTTTTTTTTTTTTTGCAACGGTGGCATTGGCCCTATAGTAGTTTTTTTTCCTTGAACAGACAATGTGGCCTCTTGGAATGTGAAGATCCATAGTTTTTTTTGATAGACAGATGAGATGGAAGCAGGCGGATGGGGTGCATATGGATTGGAATGAAAGAAGGAGAAGAGGCATCACTTATCATCCTCATATGTAATCTCGCATACCTTTTCCAACTCTTTCATGACCGTCTTGGCGCCGGCATCGATTGCTGATTTGGGGATTTTGAGATCAAAGTCCAGGGCGTCGTCGGCGGGGCCGTCAGCGCCGTTAAGTTGGTCGTCGCTGAGACCGTTTGTGGCGGATTGTTGCTTGCTACTGCTGTTGTTGTTGTTGCCGCTGGCACCGTCCAACTGACGCGTGTGCTCGCGGATACGCTGCATAGCGAGGTTCCTGGCCTCCTCGCACGTGGTGGCCTGGCCCGAGCGGAAGAGCTCGGTAATGTAGGCTCGGAGAGCGTCCTTGAAGCCTGACGAGCGCAGCGACTCGTCGAGCGTGGCCTCGATGTTGCGGATGCCGGGCCCGGCGAGCAGGGCCGAGTAGATGTTGTTGCGCAGGTCGCGCGAGATGCCCGACTGGGCTTGCTGCGTCGTGATGGGGATGGGGGTGTCGGACATGATGATTTGATGCGTGATGATGCGTTATGTTATCGGATGTTTTTTTATGTGGAGAATCCAGGGAGCGAGCGGGTAGGTGGCCGGGCTTCCGGTAATTGGGTGGGTTTCTTGGATAGGTCTGAAAAGAAAGGAGTTGTTGGTTTTTTGGGTAATGGAGGTTTGGCCGGGGGTGGTTGGTTGGAAGGTTTGATTGGGTATAGTATGGGTATTGGCCCTTTTCTTTCCCTCCCTCGCGGAATCAGGCGATTTTATTGGGTGGGAGACGGGGGTTAGTAACCAAGAAAAAACAAAAGCCGAGTGGAGATAGGGAAAGGGGAGTGAGAGGAGTTAATTGATTGCGAATTAAGACTCGGAAAGGGAAGGATTGGAGGGTGATTTCGATAAAAACAAAGAGGAGGCTCCAGGGACGACGTTGGAAGAGAGCAATACCGGGTCAGCTTCCCAAAGTCGCGGTAGTTGCTGATCCTGTTCACGTGGGTTGGGGGCGCGCGTGGGGTTGTGCTTTCTCGCTACTGGAGGGGGGGAGGGGGGGCCGGCGATGTAGTATGTCGTAATATAGGGATGGCAGCTTTCCTTGTCAGGTGCGACGTGAGGTGCGGCGGGCGGAAGTAACCGATTTGGCGACGGGCCAGCCGGGGTGGAGGAGGGGTTTAGTTTACTTAAGCGTTGGCGGTGAAGATCCCGAGTTCGCATGGGATGGGTGGAGAGTGTGGCTAGGGAGGTGATAGGAAGGGAGAGGGCGAGAATGGGATAGTGATTTAATAGCGCTGCTAGACTGGGGCGGTGTTATGAATGGAGGAGAGGCAGGCAGGCAGGGTGCAGTGCCAAAAAGCAAGGAGAGGCCAAGGGCAATGGGGTGTGCGGGGGAATGTTACGTGTGGGTTGATGGTTGATGCGTGGACGTGGGTGTTGCATGTAGTGTACTATGTACTGTGTGTACTTGGAGTCTGTCCTGACATCGAGGTACATGTGGTTGTAGGGGATGTTAGCGGGCGCGGTCGGTACCTGCATGCTTTATCGCAATATTGGCTTCCAAGCAGCAGCAGCGTCGAGCCAGCACGGACGCCGCCGGCTGCCCAGCTAGCCGCCTGTCGGACGGTATAGGGTATTGGCAATCCAGATGCAGAAGCAGACGCAGCCTGCCCGCCCTGTTGGCGCTGGAGTGACTTCTTTCTTTCTTTTCTTGCCAGCCAGCGGTCTCTTCTCTCCCCTCTCTCTCCCATTCTCTCTCTCCTTGTCCCATCCTCCCCGTCGGCCTGCGTGCTGTCCTGTCCCTCCCAGGCGCATGTGCATGTTGTTGCATCTGCTCCTCATCTTGCTCGCACGGTCGAATGCACAGCCCGCCGCCGCCGCCGCTGCTGCTGCTTGCTTTGACGACACGCCCTCTCCCCCTCAGGCCGTCGGACGACAAAGCGCCTAGCCGCAAGCCACTCGCCCGGCGACGACAACCCTCTCCCTCTCCCCGCCTTGCTGCTCACCTCTGCCCCACCGGCTAGCTGTGCATCTGAGACTGAGCCTGCACTCCCGCCCTGCTCCCGTCATCGACGAAACACGCCGTCTCAATCTCGCTTCGTCTCAGACAGGGTGCCCCAATCGCCCTGGGGCCAGCCTCGAGTCTAGCGCCGAACCGTCATCGATAACACAGACCTTGTCCCTCCACGAGCCTGCCTGCTTGCAAGAGAGAGGCCTTGGCATCATCACCGGCCGAGATTCGATATCTCTCTCTACCCACATCTCTACCAATACCTCTGTGCCAACCCTCGGCCTCTCCTCCTGCTGCCTCTCCTCCTTCAGCCCCCTCGCGTCATGGCATACACCACAAAGTACCACGAAGATTCGGATGCCGACGACGAGTTTGAGCGCCAGGCCATCTCCAGCCCGACCCTGCCCGTCGAGTACGAAAGCTCACCCACCAGCTCCGGCCCGCTCAGCACCGAACACACGCCCACCACCTTTACCCATTCTCGCGACAGCAAGAGCAGCCCAACGGGGCACATCATGGAGTGGAATGAAGACCAGACGGCCGACTTCATAGCCGACCTCGGCCTCGAGCAATACTCGGATACCTTTGCTAGTACGTGGCCTTGCTCCGCCCACCTTGGCTCTGCCCTTGTCTATGTGTGTTTTTACTAATCTCCTCTCCTACAGATGAGGGCATTACCGGAGACGTACTGGCCGCGCTACAGCATGCGGAGCTGAAAGAACTGGGCGTGGGCAGTGTGGGCCACCGTCTTACCATCCTCAAGGCCGTCTATGACATCAAGATACGGCAGAATGTGCCCATGGACCCTGATGACTACGTTCCATTGTGTGCGTGTTCTTTTTTTCTTTTCCTTTTTTTGCCATCTGCTTTTCTTCACATCCTCCAGGCCCTAACAATGCATAGCTGCCGACACATCGGCACAGGAAGCCCCGCCTACACAAGACGACTTTGCCAGAGTCATTCGAGTAGTCCAAGCGCGTGACGAACGCATCCATACAGCCGAATCGGAACTGCGCCACCTCCGAGAAGACCTCAGCCGCGTCATGGACGAGAATAAGCGCCTGCGCGAGGAGATATTACCACTGATTCGCATGTTGAAAGACAACCAGCCACTTCCGACTCCCCATGAGCACACTCTCACCTCCCCACCAGCAACTCAAGAGAGATCTGCTGGAAGCAGTCTGTCGCGTAAGTTCTCCACCAAGAAGCTTTTCCTTGGGTCCGCGCCAAAAAACCCCTCTCCAACCATCCAAGAGCATCGTGCTCTTGTCGATCATTCTTCGTTGGATCCCTCAGCAGCAGCCGTCGCAGCTTCCTCACACCTCACAGCATCCCTCGGCAGTGGCGGCCCACAAATGTCGCCCAACTCCATTGCCCAACCCTCGCCTACATCGCCCGCATACACACAATCCTCAAGTCGCCAATACAGCCGCGACATACCCCGCAGCCACGATCATGACACAAACTCTGGCTGGAGCCAAACCAACACATGGAACTCCGACGCCAACTCCATATCCGACCGGAACCGCGATCCCCGCGCCACTCCCGCACCACTATCCTCGCGACCTATGCGAAACAATGCTGCGCCAACACCGAACCCCGAAGAACGCGATCCTCCACTTTCTGGTGGCTCCAGCTCAATGAACGCCCCCACATCGGGCACTTCCTCTTCCACACCCTCCACGAACCCGCAAGTCGAAATATTCAAGTCGTTCCGCGTTTCCATCGATGACCCTTGTCACAAGGTCCTTCCCGTTGCGCTCAAGAAATACAACATTACAGCAGATTGGCGACAATATGCTTTGTATATTGTTCACGGCGATCAAGAGCGTTGTTTGGGACTGAACGAGAGGCCGTTGATCTTGTTCAAGCAACTCGACAAAGAAGGCCGCAAACCCATGTTCATGCTTAGGAAGCATGCCGCACCACAAGAAGGTCACGTTAGTACCGTGGGCGGCAACGACGTACGGCCTGTAAACCCCCAGACAGAGAGCTTTGGATGGGGCAACCAGAACAGAGGCACTCCTCTGCCTGGCGGCGTGCTGTAGAGAACCCGCATCTCCAAGACCGGGTTAAGACTTGTTGTATTTTTTCTCTTGCGAGCAAGCAAGTATTGTAAGATTCAAGAAGAGCATTGGAAGAGCATGGTTACAGGCAGTTATCGTCGACAGTGTGGTGCCCATGGCTCGCCATAGGGAAAGATGGCTCAAGGAGTCATGGGCAAGACGACGGAGCTTTTTGGTGTATCCCATCATGATGATTGGAGTTTTGGCGCATCGACAAGGAAGTTTTCCTGGCACATAAACGGCGTTTGATCTGCCCAAGGTCCGCCTTTGTTTATTTTTGTAACTTGACTGCACCGTCTAGAGAGAAAAAAAGAAGAAGATGGACGGTGTGTATGTCGAAGAGTTGGGTTATCACATTTATTAGAGTAAAGGGAAAGGGGAAGAGAGAAAGAGAGAAAGAGAAGAGGTTATCAGGTTCGGATTTTGGAGATGATCTATCTTGTTCTTGCTGCTTTCCACATGAAGGAAGCCTTTTTCTTTCTTGGAGCAGCGACCTCGGTCCCATCAAAAGAGGCCACGCAAAGTTTTTTTTTCTTATATATTTTATTTATTTACATCTACTTATCTTTCTGAAGCTGTTTATCAGTATATTGCACTTGGCGTGGTTGATTTGTACCGATGTATCTACTCTAAAAGTGAAAAATGAAAAAGCATTCTGTTCCGCTGCTGAATACTAGATGTACTGCATTCATTTCCCAATCTTTGTACTACTATTGATCTTGTCTACTACCCTCTTTTCTTCACCACAGTCCTGTATCTATCAACATTACCCCACGTTTTCCAACTCATCTCGAAAAGATACATAGCAATATCACCCTCGCATTCCCTCCATCTCTCCTTCACCCTTGACTCCCCTCACTACAACCCTAAAATGCTCAATTCCCTCCGCCCTCTATTCTTAGCTCCTCCTCGTCCTCTCCTCCCATACCTCCCTTCTACCCCCCTTACCCCAAATCCACTCCGAAAGAACAACAATGCCTTTAACAACCCTCATCTTAAAAAAATATATAAAATAAGAAATAAAGTTTAACGCGCAATGGAACGACACCTCCCCCTTGCGCTTGTCGTTCCCTAGCCTTTTTTTGCCTGGGGTATTCCCCGTGACGTTTTTTTTTAAGTAGCTTCGGGACATTAGTGTGGCTGGGCGGGCGCCTTCTGTGTGTGTGTGTGTGGCTGTGTGACTCGAGAAGTGCGGGAAAAAAAGCACGAAAGAAGGAAGATCAGGGTTGTGAACTAGGAGTGTGTGTGTGGGGGTTGAGGGGAGGGGAGGGGAATGCTTGCGTGGGTGAAACAGTAGTTTAGTTCGGGGGGAGGTTGCGTGATGTGCGTGTTGCGGGTAGTAAGTAGTAGTGTGTTGCTTTTCTTAGACGACGGAGATGGGCGAGGGAAAATGCAAATCATTCCCGCTCAAAATGGGAGGACCCTGATTTGCATTACTAGGAGAATTTTTT